TAACTACATAGCAAAGCAAATGAAAAGTTTTTAGAAATATTGGAAATTTCAGAAATCAAACACAGAATTTTCAATCAGATTCGAGATGAGAAAAATCAATGAACAAACAATAACACGAACTTATTTCCTAAATGCATCGTATGATGGCTTGATTTCTGCTTATATATTGTGAACGCACGCGCACACCCACACCCATCTGTCAGTTACAGATTCAAAGATCAAGACTCAAAGGTCATGATTTAGTAAAAAATCACTCGTACACTTTGCAGGGAAACTCTGTAGTCAATTTTTATTGAAAACTATTGTTTTATCAATACTATCAATGTTACCACTCTGTTCAATTAATGGTAATACACGATAATGAAAAGATACCTTATTCGATAGATCAATTACAGTTACATTTTGCTTGGTAATGAAGTACATACATTGCTTATCAACCGAAAATGTCCAATCTATAAAATCCGAAAAATTTGGAATTGGTAAAAATAAATCCCATCGATTATTCTTGAAATTCAATACACATATACCACTCATAGAACAGTCACTTATAGGAGCATTTAACTCGGTCGAGTACGCAAAATTGGCTAATAAATTATTACCAATTTCCTTCAATGTCCATTGACCGCTTTCGATGCGAATCGATAAAATGTGACGTGTGTCATTCACCAAATTGTACAATATCTATATTACACCAAAATTGAGAAAAAAAATGAATATACAACAAAATTGAAGTACATACCACATAAAGAATTGGTTCAGTTGCATTTAAATTCAAAGATGAAAAACCTGTTGATGGATGTAGCACTTGATATTTACCAGAGAATATGTTACCAAAATTGACAATTTCTATATAATAGACAAACAAATTTTGTTAAAGTTCTTATGTATTCAATAGTCTTTCAGCTTATATAATTGATCGTAGTCCTTCACTGACAGTTTCTGTATGAGAGCTAGATATTCTTAAAAAAATACACTGCAAAAGGAATGCGCCTAAATCAGGACATAAAAGACCTATATGGAGATTAGATTGAATATTTCTCCAATAATCAAAAAACGATTTTAAGGAGGATCTATCCACAGATTTCTGGAATATTATCCCACGTATTACTTTATTTAACTCAATACGCTTCACCCAACGATACACGACTATAAAGGATCATCTTTATTTTACTTGAATGAACAGCAAAGATAAAAACAAAAACTCACCATAATTCCATTGTTCTGACAGTGCATCAAACACATAGAGTGATTCAGGAAATGAACCACCAACATCATTTTGAATTGTACCCAATGCTAATAAATATCTATCTGCTAATGAATGAATCGGTTGAGTGCAGGATGTTTTCATAGTTCTAGACAATGGTGGTTGAGATAAATCGTTGAGATTGATTAGATTTGCTTGAGAATCACAACTGGTTGTTATAATAATATATGATGTGTTCTCATTTTTAAATCCAGCGATGGATCCAAATCCATCAATAATATTCGACTGATGCCAATTAGCGATTTCATTCGATATAGCACGACCACTAGATAGATCAATATCGATTTTGTACAGGATACATGTCTGATTAGAATTAGAACAAGCAAGCGAATATAATGAGTCGTCATTAGTGTTGACTGCACGCCAAATAGTGAGAAAGAGAACTATAATGAGCATTATTATATCTAAAGCAAATAAGTGAGGCAATCAATAACAAATAATAATTCCACCTTGTTAATGGGACTATCTATTCTGGTTACATGGGCGATCAATATTGAGATAAAGAGAGAGAGATAGTAAACAAAGCAGTTGCAAAGAATTCTCTCATTTCTGAGATGACGGAACAGATAGATATTGATTATGCACTGTAAAAAAGAAAAGAAAGAGTAGAATAGTAAACCATTTAAGAGTTTATGAAAAATTATATATAGAGCAAATGTTTATTATTCTATGTACCTTTTTTTTACAGTGTGACATGAGTCTAACTGAAAATATTCTGGTACTAGGCGAAAAGAGAAGGATAGATGGTAATTTTAATCGTTGAGAACTACAGCACATGTGCAATATTGAATTGAGGCACATAGAACTAGTGTATACAACTGATAACACGTTCGATAATGAAAACTACAATTTGATGAAAGAAACGCGTGCAGCTGCCGATAGAGATCTACCTATTTTTAACTTCACTTAATCAACATCCAAAATTAATTTTCTCCCTTAATCATTAACATTAGCAGTTAATGGATCTTACAAAGTTTACTTTCATGGTAGTAAAACATTTCCTTCTTTCTTCGAAGTTAAATACATATGCTGATAAAGGATTGAATAACATTTTTGGACAGAAAATTTTAAAGTTGCTTCAAAGGCAGGCAATGATCAATGATCGGTGTTGTAATGAGTCAGTTGTAGATAGCTTTGATCACCACAGTTATAGCCATGTTGGCAAAAAAGACGATAAGAACATCTTTTTCAATTTAATCATCGAAATTATCGATCACAGATAACATACTATGATAGTCTCAATTCAGGTCAATTGTCAGATTGTCGAAAGCAATCAAATTCAACGCATTTCCAACATCACTAGCGTTCTGAATTCATACTCACAGAAGGTGTGGGTGATTGAAGAAGAATAACCCACATCTATGCCTGTGTTTTCTCATACAATTTTAATAAGCAGTCTACCAAGATAAGTGAGTGCGGTACAGCAGGAAAAGGAGTAGGAAACTGGACCATAGTCACACATTTTAAGAGAGTATACTGTTTATCCATACAAACCTTTAAAAACAGACGCGAAAATTCAAGCTATTGAGAAAAGATTAAAAATCGACCTTTTACGTTTTTTTTTGGTAATGTTGGGTCACGCTTACGTTTTTATCTGTTAGTTTAGAGAATATCACCAATGTGAATAGATCACAATTGTTTCCGATTGTATAATTAGCTAATTTAAAAGTGACTGTTGGCTCCAGAAACACCAATTGTTTTTCTAGGGCGACATTGATGATGCAATAACTATTCTCTACACGTTACCCTACTGCGAATCATCTTTATTATACATTACAAAAGTATTGCCGGTCGATAATTCTTATCATGCACGAAACAGAAGTCTAATTTTACCTTATAGAGATAAGTATGAACGTTCAATATAAGAATTAAATTCGTATGTTAAGTAAGACGCAGATTCCACACGATAGATTTGATTGTTACTACTTTCGTAATGTAATAAAATTATGCCTTCACACTGAAGCAGAACTGCAAAGCATCGTCGAATCACTATCAAATATACTAAATCTAAACAAGATACGATAACTGGTATTAACCTATCCGATATAACTGAATTCTGTAGCTCTTTCAAAACTCCTTCCACACTTTTCAAATTTAACTACTTTACTCGTTTTGTACAGAATGACAAATAAGTTTACTTTCTCTCAACAGCATTAAGACTAAAGGTTTATTAAAACATTTGGAAATACGTGTTCTCAAACACGAGACTTTCAAACAATCTTGAACATCTTACAGAATAACTCATGTTCATTATTGTTAAAAATATATAGGGTGTCCAATAAGTCATGAAATAGATACACTAAAAATTAAATATCTCCATTATAGCTTGACCAAATGGGCTCATTTTTTTTACCAAGGATAGAGGCATGTTCACACTCCAAATTCATATAGACGAGGTCAGTGAGAATCTTTGTTAAATACCACTATTGACTTCAACAAGAAAATTTTATTTGTTCACAGATAGGAAAAGAAAACAATATGCTCATCATAGGGTCTCACTAATCGCGCCCATACGGATTTGGAGTGTGAACATGCCTGTATCTTTGGTAAGAAAATCAACTCGTTTGCTCGAGTCGTAATAGAGATATTCAATTTTCTTTTCTGATAAAGTGACTTTTGCACCATCCTATATATTTTTTTTCTACCTGTGAACAAGTAAAATTTTTGTTGTTGAGGTCAATAGTGGTATTTAACAAAGATTCTCACTGACCTTGTCCATATGAATTTGGAGTGTCAACGTGTTTCTATCCTTGGTAAAAAAAATGAACCCGTTTGGTCGAACCATAATAGAGATATTCAATTTTTAGTGCGTCTGTTTCATGACTTACTGGACACCCTATAGTGGGCAGGATAGAGGTAGTGGGGAAGATGGAAGCCTTCAGTGTCGATAAATATCAATAATAAGATTTTGGAAAGCTGGTTCAACATTCGTAGAATCTGATGCTAATGTTTCAATGTACCTTTTCTTTGAAATATATTTTGCATATTGATTTCTGACAGCAAAAAAGAGTATCGAACTTACTGAATATTTCTTTCGTCAGCAAATCGTTTAGCACCATTCGATGAAACAACTCGAATATGTCGTTGATCGAATTCATTTCCCACCAATGTAATACGACAGTCGATATCCGCATTGGATATCACTTAGTTGCACTTTTTAAAAGAATAAGTATCTTGTGAAGGAACCAACAGAAAAAAATTTCAAACCATTGGGTAATATTTTGAAATGTCGATGATCTCAAAGTGTCAAATACGAGTAGTGCATCTAATGGATGACGATAACAAGCTTTTATTATTGCTCTGAATCGTTCTTGACCGGCTACACAGAAGAAAGAGATATAAACGAGAAATATATATTGCAAGAAACTCTTATTGGTATCCCATATTTGTACTTTATTCGTTTTTCCATCAATTTGTACTTTTTTTTTAATCGAGAGTGATGTGTGGAGGTTTAAGTGCCGCTCAATTAATTTGAGTAGTTGAATATCGTTGCTTCAAATTATTCAATAATTGAATAGCTGAATATCGGAAAGGTCTTCAATAATTAAATTCAACTTTCAGGTTTAACAATACTGCATGAATTCAGGCATACAAGGCGGAACTCAATCAAACAAAACACTCAGTTTCATTGATTGTTTTTCCCGATAGCTTACTAAGAAATATGTTGCTTGATTCAAATCGTTAATATGAACACTGTGTTGTATTCTCTTCCCTTTTCGTTCTTTTCTTTTTATTGTAATAATCAAATGCATTTTGTTCTTTTCTTTAATTTATCCTTTCTCAATTGTACGTACTATCCTTAATAATAATGACTTAGTTCATCGAAACGTTGAATTAGTAATAAATATTCGATTATGTTATTCGAAATCGTTGTCGTCTTTACATTAATTCTGAAATTATTGCTCTTAACGATTTTCAATGATTAGTGTTCATGTTCATTCATACATGCTGAGTAGTTGTCAGATAGTAATTACATCTTTCAGTTTTGATTGCATTTCTGGTATAAGTAGATGGTCGAATGCTCAGTCAAATGCAAAAGATTATGAAATGCATGTATACACAGTAGTAATTTTTCATGTTCAGACATGAATCATTACGGTATGACATGCATGGGAACGCGTGAGATAGTAAATTATATTCGTGCTTACATGCATGAAATTTTGAGCTTGTGTACGATTAATATTGCCACTGCATGTGAGGACATAAGAACTCTTTTGTAGAGAATTCACGTGTATGCATGTAAGACAATTTAGATGGCCAAAAACCGAACGATATGTAGTAAACAAACCTATTTTACTTTATAAGACAAATTTCTTCACTATTCGACCATCTACTTTATAAATGCAATCATAACTGAAGGGTATAATAATCATCTGATAACTACTAGACATGTGTGAACATGAATACTAATAATCATAGGCGAATTCGAAAAATTGAACAATTTTTTTTGAATCCTATAGTATGAATATATGAGAGCAATTTCATTTTATTGAGAAATAAATAAATACACGCCGAAGAAAAAAACCTATATTCTTGCATGAAGCAGCATGCACACACTACAAAATAGCAAAAATTTGCATGATGATGCACAGGTGATCAAATTATAATCATGTCGCAGATACGCTTTAATAACACTTTGACATTTGCATGCGAGTCATAAATCTTGCATAGACACACAAGAGTATTGCATGCAACTACTTGTTAGGATAAGAGTCATGCATAGTCTCGTATATTTTTGCTTAAAGGCTTAAAAAATGGTATTTCCATGCATGTGTTATTGTCTTGGATTTGTGCGCGACAATTGTAAATATTTGCAGTAACTTGCATCTTCATATCTGAAATACGATGATTTGAAAAGTATTTTGCAAGTAAACGTGAGTTTCTGAAAATTTTCGGCATATACCCATGTTTTTAAAGCTTTTCATTTGACTGGGACAGTGTGCTATCATATTTATTTCAAAAAGATTACTTATCGCATAACCTGCTTTTCGAGTCAATCTAAATGATAAAAATGAAATTATTTATTTTAAAATAAATACTGAGTGTTGAACATATTGTTCGATAAATTCTAAATGAAAAAAGATAACTACTTTTCAGTGTGTTGTTCGTATTATTCTAAATTTAAAACAAACTCTATTTAAAATAAATGTTTATCATTATATTGTCGCGGAATTGAAAACGCAAAAGCTATGCACTCAATAAATGCAACTCGAGTTGCGACTAACTATGATCGTACACTAGAGTCGTGCACGACAGCTGTTCACGCTCATCGTGTATATTGTTTGTATTCGAACGAATGGCATCGCGCACCTTTCATCGTAAACGATGATCGTATACGAAGATCGTTTTTTGACGTATTTTGTAGTATACGGTCGTTTATAATTGTGTCTTTTCGACCTGAATATATTGAAAGTAGTATATATTCCGATATTTTGTTTCTGTTTGGTCGATCTGCAATTTAAAAAAAACCAATAGCCACATTCATAACACTTTTCCGGGTCCGATTTTAATATCCTGTGTTTTATGAAAAAAACAATAATGTCACTCATGAAAAACACATAATTGAAGATGAAGAATACTTCTTAGATGGTTTTTTTTCTCTCTTATCATTCATGTTCACTTTCGGGAAGTATTAATTTTCTTGTTGGTATTTATATAAGACTTTTACGTTCGTTCATTTTGATATGAATATATCGAATTTTGTCCATTACTAAATTTGGATCAAACAATCCTTAAAATTGTTTATATGATATTAATATAATAAGTATGACTTAACGTCTTCCATATTAGTCAATATCATTGATATGTAGAAAACTTAGTTGACATAGAGTTAAGGAAATGTCATTACCACCTCAAGCTTTATCAAACATAAGTTGTGTTCGGATTAAATCAACAATAGAGCATGTTTATTATTTATATTAGTAGGTTTCTACATATTTTTTCTTAGAACTCTGTATATCTGCTTGTTATTTTATTAAAAAATCATTGTCTTTCAAACGACCATGATAAAATTTTTTTCCTATTTCAACAAAAGTAGTTAATCAATTAATCTTCTTACACTTATTAGTGAAAAAATTTTCTATCTTTTGGATATAGTTCATCGAGTTTCATTTTTGATTGTAGTATTAAATATGACGACGTCTGGAGGCGTCAAGTAAATTATTAATAAAAAATACAAATTGAAAATTTAATGAAGTATCTTTGCGGAAAGTAATTGACTACTGAAGGATCAAATATATCACGAAAAAGGATGTTATAAAAAGAAAAAGATAATTAATAATAATACAAGTCTTATAATTAAAGAAAGTTTATTTCGTAGAAAATAACTTATTGAAACAAAGATTAAATTAAGAAAAGAAGTACTGAGTCTTCACACGACGTGTCTAGAAAAATGTCTTAACATAAAATTTATACAATGTTCATAAAGCTCTTCATGTCATAAATTGTTTCCCAGAAAATGAAAATTGAATATTTGTTACAAGATCTTAGAAATATATTAAAGAATCAACAATAATATATTTTTGTGTGACAATACAGCGGACTACACACTTATTTTTTCTTGTATCTTGTTAACCAAGTCTATAAACAAACAAAGAACAAGCAACTGATGATTACATTTTGAAATTCGTTATGACAAGTAATTTTACATGAAATTTAATTCAGCAAACAGCAGCATATCCGAATACAGATAAAAAATTATGAAAAGTCATGGCTTTGGTGTTTGCTTTATGTTGAGATAATGTTTCCTTACTGAAATAACTCAGAAAAGGAACCATGCTAATTTCCTTTGGAACAATCTATTCAAATGCTCTTCTATAATTCTAATGTTTATTAATAGTATTTTGTTGTTTTATTTTTCGTATTTCTTTGTAGTTATACTCCGTTACCTATATCTTACATTATAGAAATTCTCTTAGACATCTAAGCTTTTGTCACACGACTATTCTATTTGAGTGAAGTCAAATAATGTGTAAATGTTTCTTCTTATTCTCTGGAGTAATTGGTTGGAAATATTCATATTTCATTTTGACACATTATTTCAAAAGGTTACAGAGTTAACAAAATTAACAATATGACTAGAATAATTACATCCAGTAGAAAATGTGGAACTTTCTAACGCGTTCCAATTTTTGTTGAAACGCATTTTTTAAGAAAGCAACGCGTTCCGAAATGAAAATTACATGCTGAGAAACGTTCTAGTTTTGTTGGAACGCATTGTTTTCTTAAAAAACGCGTTCCAACAAAAATTGGAACACGTTAGAAAGTTTTACATTTTTCACTGGGCAGGCAAGTATTGTGCATATATGTCTGACCTGAAACCTGAATTCAGTTATTGAATATCTTATGTCTGAATTACCTTTCAATAATTGAATTCAACTTTCAAGTTTGACACTGATGATATTTGTAGAGCAATTTCATCCTTTCTCTCATGTATCTCTCAATAATCGATATTCTTGTCGTTATTATTTCCCGATTTTTGTTCTTGTCGATCACTAGTCAAGATTCTTTTTACATACACTTTAGCATAAGATTCTTATCTGAAAAAAACAGATCATAATTTTCTGGCAAAATTTATGTAGATCGTATCATAGATGAAGTCAGAATTATCTTTCTAGGCAAGATTCTTGTGACCTTGAGTTACTTGTCTAATTTTGATGATTTAGATGTTGCCTTCGCTATATTTCAACAAGACTAATATATTTTGTCGCTTTTTTATTTTTACTTCAAGATATTAACAAAATATATAAGAGAAAAGCAAACCATAATTACAATAAAAGTACGGTAAATTTCCTGTAACTTCAGATGAAATACAAAAAGAGGAATAGAAAAACATTTACAATAACAAACCAAAAAAGAAAACAATGATTGATAGTTATGTTATAAATCTGATATGTTCTATTAAGAAGAAAAATAAAAGAAACAAATAATAAAAATATTCTTTATCATCGATGTCCTCTATTTTGAACGTCTGTCTGTTTTTGGAAACTTTCTAAAATTAACTATAATTTGACTTACTATTGAGTCAACAGATGAATATTTCATATCGAATGTGTGCATTTGTTTGCCGTCGACATATAACTCAATTAATTATGTAAATAGGATGAATCTTGTTCATTAAATTAAACATAATAACTATTAACTGTCGTTTGCATGGATGTGTTTATAGATATCACGTAACGTTTTGCTTGAAAGTCAGACAAGAATCTTATCTGAGCTTAGCGAAATTTTCAAGAATGTTCTTTTTCTTACTTGTCAAAAAGAATTCTGTCTAAACTACAAGATGAAAACGAATCTAGACTGATCGATCAAAGAAAAAAACAAGATTCTAGAAAGAATAAATCAAAGAACATCAATTAGTGCTTCTTCTTTTACTTCATGGATTCTGAGAAGTCTCTCATCTGTCTACCTATTATTAAATACGGTGACAGCTAATAATTAATCAAAAATCTTCGAGCATTTTAAGTAAAATATGTATCAATCATAGACTATAAATTAGTTTGATTCATATATAAATATATATATATGCTTTTCTTCAGTTTTTTACCATATAATAAGTAGTTTTATATTATATAATGATAAAAGATATTGCGTGCGAATAAACGCTTGAAAAAATTTACTTTTGCTTCTAATAGTTGTTTGTAAGTCAGTGCATTAAGTTTTTTTTATCATCACTATAAATATATTCCATTTTATGTGCCGTTAAAAGAAGTTTTCAGAAATTAAAATTATGAATCGAGATCTGTATGACATAAAAAGTAGAAGTATATAATTGTGAAGTAAAAACAGAAAAGTCTTTAGGTTAAAAAATACTTTTGTTTCAAAGTTAACTAATCTAATAGAACAATCATATCTGACTTTTAGGCAGTTATGATGTTCCATGATTAGTGAAATTGATAAAGTAATGTGTGTTCGTCGAATTCATTTTCAAAGTAAAGACAATTTAGTAAGTATTTCAAACTAAAATCTCATAAGTTGTTCTATTGTTAAATATGTCTCTATGGAACTAATTAGTTTGTTAAAGTTGAATTAGTTTTCTCATGTGATCAAACTAAAACAGAAACAAATTCATTTCTATTTGAAAATTTGATCTTAAGATTCCTGTTTTTTTTTCTCACGTATAAGAACCAGACTTTTAGTTCTTAAAATATCTTCAATAGATAGAAAGTATTCAAACTTACATAATAACTATAATAATCAGAAAGTGTGTGTTGAAAAAAGGAGTGAACTGTGGGTGTTCAACGTAATCTGTAATTATCGATGAAGCGCAAAATATAAAATTTGTCTGATCTCTTTCTATTTCTGACTATAGTAAATGCCGAAACTTTTGGAAAAGCTGTAGTTTTAAAACATTTAAAGCTACTACATTAAGATAATTAGATATTCATATTGATTGTTTATGTTCGAATAAATAGTATAAGTAACATCTAACACAAAGGAAACGCATGACTGATAGACATTGACAATTTTTGTTGGTTATTCAACTTTAACATGAGAACCTATAAAAATTTCTGACATTTTTTTAATATTTGTCGTCCATTGGAAATGAACCATAGTGTGCTCTTACAATACTCATGTCCTTTTGATGCACGTAAAAAAAGTTATTTATATAGAATTTATTTTAGACTTTTCAAAAACAGAAACATGTTAAATAGTACATTCAATCATAACTTCACATCATTTGGTAGTACTATTATTTTTATCGCAATCATATTAAGTAGTATAGCAGTTATTTTTAATTTTATTATTATCATTGTTTTGATTCGTCATGGTAAATTTATAAAATGTTCTAAAAAACATCATAGTCGTCGCATTGGACTTGTTCATTCAATTAATACATATATTCATCTCATTGGAATATTATCAACACTTATAATAATGTGTATTAGAACTTTATACGGTGATTTAAATCGAGAAAAACGAGATAAACGTATTATTTCATGGTATTGCCATTTTCTGGCCTACTTACTGTCATTATTTGGAGCGGGTGTTTATGGTTCATGTTTTTTACAAGCACTTTATCGTTTTTGGCGAATTGTTACACCAAATCGAGATTTTTTCCAGAACCTATATTTTCATATCCAATTAATCCTTGGTCATTGGGCATTTATTATAATTCTATTACTACCTATTCGATCTCGTTCTGTTTATATATCATCTGACCATTTCTGTTTAAGTCCATTTGATGATCGATGGACAGCAGCATATATTTCATTGATAACAGCTATAATACCTGTTACTGGAATATTAATACTTTATATAAAGATTGTAATTTATATGAAAAAGAATTTACAAACTAAAAAACAATGGAGACGTATGAAACGTGATATATCAACAATACGAAGAATTCTTGTATTAGTTATTATTATATTACAAACAAGTAGTACAGGAATTATACTTTGGATTTTAACATTTTTTTATAAAAGTCTTCATCCACTTTTTTATCGATTACTTCGATTGTTAATTATATTATGTATGATTATATGTAGTATTACTTTATTGATGCTTTCTCCACAATTAAAACGAGCATTTCGATCAAGTAATCGTAAACAATTGAAGAAACAGTTTACATCAAAAAAACGAATGTCTTCGAATAATATTGAAGAAATAACACCAATCGAAAATGGATCTATTTCATAAAAATGATTTATTTGTTTTTTTTTATAAATAAACATAATCAAATTATATATTATTTGAAAAATAAATAAAAAAATCTTTTTTTTTTCTTAATAATCCTATTAAATTTTTTATTCGAGATCAAAGTAAGAGAACATGTAGTTGAAAAGTCTTGGAAGGATTTCGAAAGCATTGAACTTTGTGTCATTGAAATTAGGTTGAGTCAAATTATTAGAAAATGTTAATACTATTTAGAATAGTAAATTTATTACTGACAATTAATTAATCTTTTTTTCGATTTCTAAATGGCATTATATATTTTTTTTCTCTGTAATAGCTTTAATTCCTTAGGGTTTTCTAATTGTATAATTGTTGACGCCTTTCAGCATGAACATTTATATATCACTAATTAAAGTAAAATAGCCAGTTTATGATTTTATTCTAATTCTCGAAGATAATAAACAATAAACTAATTTAAATCAAGTTGTATGAATGTACTTTCATTTATCTACAAATTATAATGCGAATTGGTATTACTTTATAAATAAAAGAGAACATTATTTAGAGATTGTTTAGACGTCATTTTTGTTCAAAATGTTAATTTAAAACTAAAAAAAAATATTTTAAAGAAATAATTGTGCTTCCTTGGAAACTATTTTTTTCCTAATAAAATATCAGAAAAATATTTAATTCTAAGTTATTTTTTATTAATGGTTCTATCAGATACATAAAAACTACCTAGTTTTTTTAAAATAAACTTCTGTATTTGTTTTGAGCAAATTCAATTAAGGTCATTCCATCCTTCGCCCTAAAAAAAAGTTAGTTTTCGTCAAAAAAGAGTGAAAATTATCATAAAAACATAAAAAGATGGCCTAAGCTCTGTTCTTTCAACAAACAACATGATTTTTCAAATTCGCATCTCGTTTTTCGATAATGTCCGTCATTTTTGCTTAAAGAATAAGATCTTTTTCTTAGAAAAACCGGTCGTAAATATAGACCCTTTTCCATAGATAGTATATGCAACATGTATTTTGTTGAAAGCGTTACATCTTATCGGAACTTTGTTCAAAACTTCTGAATTTTTCTATGAAAATTAGTCTAGTTGAGTTCTCTATATGCACAAAGTTTCATATCAAAATTCGAAAATATGAGTTTCCCGAAAATCTTGAATCTCTAGAAAATAGAAATAGTAAAAATTCGATAGCTTAGCCAAATCTCAATAGGGATCTGAATTTTTTAAAAGTTTTTATTAGAAAACTATTTAGTATCTATTGGCAAAAAAATCATTGAAATCGATCGGAAGAGAACATCTGAAGAAGTTTCCTCGTAAATCAACTTACAGTTAATTTTAGTACAACATTTGCGAGCAGGCTCATTATGTTCATGTCTAAGAAAATAAAACTACTTAATTAATAAAGTTCAACAAGTTACAAAAGATATTTGTTTTATAGGAAATTCAAAAATATATATATGGTAGTTGATATTTATCGTCTTCAAGTTAACCAACAAAAGACTTTAAAATGCTAAAATATTATAAAATTTCTCTTTAAAAAATATTTTTCATTTATTCTTTATTTACGCTGGTTTCATCGCGCAATCCAGAACTCTTTGCAAACCCTCGTTCTATATATTTTATTTTGTGTTGTTTGAAAAATGATGACAAAACGCAGAGCATGACAATCTATTTTTTTTAATTAATTTTCTTATAACCATATATATATATATATACGGACACTGAATTAAATAGATCCCCATTTTTAGAGAGCTTTTTGAGACCCTAGACGTGTCATTATTTTTTTTTACATATAAAAAGTAAGCACTTAAAAATGGACTGTTTCATATCATGCATGTTAACATGCTCTTTTAAGCAAAAAAAAATAATGAAATATATAGAATGAAGATGGGCAGAGAATTTTAGATTGCCAAATGAATTATTTTAGACTCTTCCTTGATGAATATATCTCTTAGACATCATGAAGTTGAAATATGAAATCACTTTAATTTAATGAACATGATTAATAGAATAAATGAAAAATTATATATTTCATTGTACTTGACTTTATCTGTGTGTGTTGATCCTTCTTATTTTATTTATTCACATGATTACAAAAAGTGGACCTTAAGTCATAGTTTTGAATCTACCTCACGTTTTACAATTCATTAAAGAAAATTAAGTTTAATAAATTCGACGACATAGAAGTAGTGCTAAACAAAGTATCGAAGCTCTAAATTCTGACTTCAAAGTCAGATAACAATACTATTTTGATAGCTTGAGCATTGTTCTTTACTTTAGATTTAATTTGCATTTATATATTATTCTCTGATTGTCTCTTTCTTGTATTCATTTGCAAATTATATTTTCTTGTATTTACGCATCGACTCTAAAACAAACGATATATTCATTGTAGTGCAACAGTAAGAGTTTTTTTCTATGTTAACAATTACGAAGGAAACAGAAAAATTACAATTATTTTTATTGAACATTTAGTTATCAAGAATATATATTTTTTCGAATTAAAATTGTGTCTTTGAAAATTTCATAATAGAGTAAGTCTATCGAAAACTGAAATCGTTGTAACTCAACTTTTGGCCATAGTTATAATTTTGAACCTTAATTAGAAACATAGTTCGATTATAGCCACTAATCATTACAATTTTAATGCTCATAGTAGACATTGATGTGCCATCATCTAGTTATTTCTTCTGAACGATATAGGAAGCTCTTTCTTTATTTTTAAACTTATAAAGAATCAATAGTTGTATTTTCACTTCTCTTTGCTTTTGCTGTCTTAATTTCTTTATTCTTTCGTTTCTCTTCTTCATTTGTCGATACCATAAAGAGGAAGAACGAGAATAGCAGAATAATATCTGTATGTATTGATATAAATAGTGATGGACGTATAAAAATGAACAGCAAATAGCCTGATATAGAGATTTGGTGTTGAAATCTATAGATCCTAATTTTTTCAATTAAAGAACAATGAAATATGTGTAATGGATGTCTCAGTATTTTATCAATATTGTCGTCAATGTTTATAATTTTGACTTCAGTTTTTGATCAAAAGATTCCTTGTTCAATTCTCTACAAATGCACGGAAAACATTGCAGTATAAAAACTAACAGCCAACCATCCTGTATTAATGAATGCACAGCACCAAAATGACGGAATTTGTGAGGGCATTTTCTTTTAACAATTAGTTCTATTTTGTCTCGAACTAGATATGCATCTAATCACGCTCGTCTCATTTTTTTTCTCTATGTTTTCAAGTGTACTCTGTCGCATTGTCTTCCGTTACAGTTGTCTGAAAAACTTAATGATGCATGCATGCGGAAATGTCATACAAAAGATAGTGAAATTGCTGAAATTCGTACTCTCATTAGACACTTTTTTTTCACAAAAATTAAATTTCATGTTAGATCATTACCTAAGCTTGGCAAACGAATCATTTTTTTTCAAAATAACGACAAGATTTGAACTCAAAAAGTTAGTATAGCACATAGAAACAAAAGTTTTTCAAAATAATGCTGTTTTTTTTATCAAAGTGAAGACGCTTTTGAATAAATAATTAGATTTGTTCGTACGTTGCATATCCAACGGCTAAGAAAATGAAAAAGGACAAAACAATGTTACAAAATACATTTAGTTTTCAGGTAAAAAAGTTCTTTAATTGTTAGTTTTTTTACTGAAATGTCTTCTATGCATTTGTAGAGTATTGCATGAAGAATCTTTTGGTAAAAAATTCGAATCAAAATAATGAAGGTTGACAAAGATACTGATAAAATATTGAAAAGTCAATATTTTCATTTATTCTATTAAACATATGAATTAAATCCAAGCGATTTGTTATTTCAACTGAATTGAATCTACTAAAAAAAAATCAAGAAATTAATCGAATAAAAATGGCTGGTATGTATAACTACGATCGATGATACATATAATAATTTTAAAAAGCAGATAAAATGGTGTATATCTATGATGAGATATAAAAAACGACTCACAGTTCTTTTTTTTATTATTTTGATACAATTTATATCAATTGTATTTACTTAATGAATTTGTAAACAGAAATATTGATATTGTATATTAAAAGAATTTCGTTTAGTTATTTCATCTTATTTTAATTTCTTACTTATATGATATATTTCAAATGTATGTGTTCCTTTAACTCATAAGCTAGATTTTTTGGAAAAAAATATGTCATCATCAGTTAACATGTGCAGTTACTCTTTTATGGCACATGATTCTTTTCATATTTTATATTGTTAGCTCCTATTCTGGTTTGGTCCAAAAGCATATTTAATTATGATGTTAAACAGAAATTAGTTGAGCAAATAAATTTTTTGTTCCATCTTTGTTATTTGACAGATGTAAACCCGCTTTTTAATAAGATTCTGGAATAAGTCAATTAATATATGGCATTGCTATTCATAACTTTGTCTTTATCAGAGTGAGATTAAAATGTGAAACACGATGTAGTTGGTGTTGCTAACCACAGAAGACTGTTCTATTCTATCTATTTTGTGATACATTTGTTCACTGTCGTTTTATTTACTCGTCCAAAAATCCGACAAGGAAGTGGTTAAAATATTTTAACAAGATGTTATTGATATACGATCTGTGATCATCTATAAACATCTGTCACGATCTATTTGCTTCTTTATTTCATCGTGTCTGTTGGATCGTATTTTACAAAAGTATTAAAAATAAAGATACTTCCTATTTAAATAAAATTCTTATTTATCATTAAATCGAACTCTTGACCGAATTACCCAACAAAAATGATGTAGTATACTCCATTGTTATCTCTATTGGAATGAATATAAAGTTTTATGAAAAGTATTTTTTCCCCGTAGAATTTTCTACTATAAATTAAAATTTATGAAACAAAATATTATATTTTCAATCACTTATGTTTTGTTTTTCATATTAGTTCATGTGAGAACCTTTTATTTTTATGTCTCCTATTTTCAATATATTTCACGATGAATATCAACCATATTTTCTTTAATTTGAAATTTGAAATGAAAAATTCATCATTCTTTTTAGATAAAAATTTCTAATCAATGTTTAATATATCATTAAATACATCATCAAATGAAGATTTAATATCCATTGCCATTAGTTTTACAATTATGACAATAGTATTAGCTTGTTTAACTATTATTTTGAATTCAGTTATCTTATTTCGTCTTATATATTATGGTAAACTTAGAAAACGTTCTTCGAAAAGTACAAGTCGTCGTATCGGCCTTCTTCATTCGATGAATACTTATATTCATATTATTGGGTGTACAACAACATTTCTCATAATGTCTATTCGAACTTTATTTGGCGATTTATATTTATATAATAAAGAAGAGATGTCTCCTTCTTGGCATTGTCGTTTATTAAATTATTTAACATCTATGTTTCCAGCAGGTATATATGGTTCTTGTTTTTTACAAGCACTTTTTCGTTTTTGGCGTATTATTAAACCTCATCAACATTTATATAGAAAATTTTCATTTCATATTCGACTTATCCATCTTCATTGGATATTAATTATAATATTATCTATTCCTGTTTGGTTTCGTTCAGTTTATTTATCATCAGAAAATTTTTGTTTAAATCATTTTAGTGATACATGGTCATCAGTTTACATTTCAGTAACATCTGCTATAATACCTGTATTTGGTATAAGTATTGTTTATTTAAAAATTGTTTTGTATATGAAACATAATTGGCAATCAAGAAAACGATGGAGACGAATGAAACGAGATGCTGCAACTATTAGAAGAATTATTTTATTAGTTATTGTTCTTTTAAATACAAGTAGTGCTGCAATTATACTTTGGTTATTAATGTTTATTCAAAAGCATATGCATCCACTTTCTTATCGACTTCTTTGTTTTATGGTCGAAATTGGTATGTTAGCATGCAGTATTACTTTATTAACTGTTTCTCCTCAATTGAGACGAGCATTACAATCAACAAATCATTATCGAAACATCAACATTCGAATAATAAATTAGATGATTCTCTATATATATAATAAATGCTCAAGAAGTGACACCATTAAAAGATCTATCTGCTTTTTTAAAGGTTCAGAAACAAGATAACTCATCGAATCAAAACTAGCAATGACAATGTGATCTTTTATCATGTATTGTATTTATTATTTTGGCTGTTTTGTACTCATACATTTGTTTTATATCTTTGTACCGGCAAAATGTGAAAAAATTCTTTTGATTATTCCACTCAAAGTGTCATGGCTTTATTCAAAACTTCATTTAACTAAAAATTTGACATTTATAGTGTTGTCAAAGCATGCTAACAACAATCAATTCCAATGAATAATAAAAGTAATGAGAAAATCCCTGTTACTTTCATTATTAAAGTATTTGTTAATGACTAAATAAAATCTGTTTAGTTAGTTATTTTGAAATCTTATACATCAATATTTCTAACAATTTTCAAAAACTCTTCATTATTTCATTTGTCAAACTCAGAATTCTTTTTAAAAGAAATATTGTGAAATGAAGCACAATCATATATCATAAAACAATTTGAGAAAAAAAAACAAAGAAAATACTCAAAGAATTTAGTGAAAAGAGAATGATAAAATACATTTTCGACAACTATTTCATGTTTGTGTAGATAAATTTGTCCAAAAAATATGAAACTTAACATTACTCATTGAAATATTAATTTATTCTATAGCATTGACATATTTGTTTTCATAAAGATTACTTGGAAAGTCATCAGCTGTTCGTACTCTTATTCTTAAAAGTCGACGATCAATTTATCGTTTATATTTTAACATATTTACTAAATCAAATATCGACAGATAATAAGAGAGAACGATGTTAGTAAAAGTATTATTGTACATTGAAAAAAGCTTTTCAAAAATAAGATTTCATGAACATATACTCTATTTGTTTTAGCTATCACTGTAAATCCCAAGTAAATTGAAAATAAGATTTTTGTTGAAATGTATTTCAGAAAAAGATCAAGTTTTTATTCTATTTCTTGCAAAACAAAAAAAATTACATCAACCTATGACAATCTAATAAATAGTGTTCTACACTATTTTGATTTTTTTTGCTGCAAATGAACTCTTTAATCAATTACGTACTGTTGCACTTAATCATATAAAATGACTCGAAAATGCTGGCATTGAAAAAATGATATTGAACAAAATTTTCTCTATACGTCCATTCGTAGTTGAAATTTTTTACATCTTCAATTGGAAACCATACTAGTAGTATCAATGAAAGTTAGCTATTGAGTTATCGAACAGTGATGTGATTTCGTACGCATATAAGGTTTTTCTAAAAAGACATCTATTCAAAATAAAAAGATATATTCTCGACATCATTGAGAAGAAAAAAGTGTTATAGAAATTTAATTTCTGCTTTGAGAACTATTTGATCGAATCCATAAACAAATAAATGTCAAAGTATCAAGCAGTGATTCATGTCGTGAAAATCACCTCAGTTTGAATGATTAATACTAACACTGAGAAAGTCGGCGGTTCATCACAATTTCGGCAGAAAAATCGTTGATAAATCGCAGTTCATCGATGAGGATGTGAATGTATTTAGAAGGGATGCAGATCGGAACGTGAATGAGTGTAAGTCTTCATTGACATTCACACTCACATACAATGTCCATTGGCTTGTTATACTTCATTTCTTTTGTCTCAAGCATGTAATATTTCGACCGTAGTCAATAAATATTTGATTCCACAACTTCATTATTGTGTGCGTAAAAACCTCAATAGCTGCGAAGAAGCTGATATTTGGGTGTGGGTGGGGTGTGGGTATCGGTGTGGATGTGGATTTCTCTTCAATCACACCCACACCCCACTCTCGATTCCAATCCCAGTCCTGGAAAAGTTTGTTTTCAGCCTCGTTTCTATTTATTCATTTCATTTTAATATCTTTTTTTTGTAATATAACTCGAATCGCACAACATTAAGAGTAAGAAAAATCGGAATATTTTTTGTGCACTAATTTTTTTTTGAACGCTAATATACACAAGCGCAGCGCATGTGAATTTCATACGTGATATGGAACGCCCTCTTTCATTTTTTAAGAGGCTATGCGTATTTTTATTGTAATGGCGATGTTGTGTGTACATGCAAGTGTGTGTAGCTTGTCTCAATTCGAAGAAAACGTGATGAAATAATAATATGGGTGCACTTGCATGTAATAGCATCGTTCGCCTTCTGTTTTTTTCTTTCTGTAGTTGTCGAGTGATGTGATGTTGTTTTTCATTCATGATGTTTATGCCTGCATGACAAAGAGCGCAGAAAAAATGACGTGATAGGCAAGCATCGATAAAAACAAGACGCATTTTTTGCTTCTATGCATCAAATGATTGCATGCAATGCAACATGTTCGTCGCAATATTAAGCACGATGACGACGAGCTTCTCATTAAATATTGTTGTCTTTTCAGATTTATAGTCGATACTTTTCACCATGGACGATCATTTTTGCCAAGGCGCTGCCATCAGATCTTACTCAACAAGTTGCTGTATGGTTGGTGTCTGTATTGAGGCGACAATCGTTGCAAATCAATGTTTTCTATAGTCAGAAGACGAGATCGTCATCATTCTTGAGTCTTGATGACCCGAGCCTAAGACCAGTACCTGAGATTTCGTTTCATTACCCTCACCATTTCTCAGACTTTTCTCCGCTCAGCAAGTTTTCTTATTAGCAATTTTGATTGAAATGTTCACCCTACCCAAGCTGCTACGATGACGATCTCTATTCTGAATAAAGTGACATTGTCTTGCTCGTCGGTCGCTTTTTTCATTCGCACAAGAAGCTGAATTCAACAACATTCCAATGCACCCAACAGCGAATCATAATATCGATCATGAACATTATCGAAGACCACTGAAAAACAATGATGACCTTTAAATGATTGTGCCAATGCGTACCCATTACAAAAGCTTGTCCACACCACTATTTGAATTCGATAAGCTGCCCTATCGGTCTCGTATCTGACGAGATAAATGCAAAACTATCACTATTTTAGCAACGTTTTACTATAGAAGCTGAAATCTAGTTTGACCTCTATCGCTTGTTCTCTTAGAAAACCTTAGTAAAACTTCAGAATGAACCCAAGTATCTTAGACTCCTAAGCCCCACAAAAAGACCCTCATACCCAGACCCAACCCATGTTTGAAGTATTATCCAAGCCGCAAACTTGATGACCCAAAAGACTCTGCAAATCTTCCATTGACCATAGACCGAAAGAACGTACCCCAAGACCCAAAATTCAAAACTCACTGTACTAGACTTTATTTCAAGAAACTCCTTCTCTTATCAATAATTAATGAATACAATGTTGCTTCTGTGTAGGGATACAAACCAAACTCCAAAATTAGACTCTTCACATACACAACCCATTTCAGAAGAAAGTAGGATTCACTGTGGCAAGATTGGACACATCACAATTCATCGGAATGATGTCTTCTTATTTTTCTCTAGTTACGTCGAACCCATCGAATCTGGTTCGGGTGACTCGTTCCACGGAACACGTTCAACTCGTCAGGGTAAACTCATCATAATAATCTACGTCGTATTCATATGCATCTTAACTGTTTTTTCTCAGTATCAGACTTTGGTCCACGGCATTAGGGTAGAGTCCGCTTCGAGTTGCTGCCGTTATCTGATCGATCTCAGTCTCGAATGCCTCGATGGGAACTTTGTCGAAGAAGGTAAGCAACACTTCGCGTTCATTCTGTCGAACATTCTCAAAAAAAAACTCTCGAAACATCTACCTATCATCGTTTTAATCATGCTAATGTCTTATTCTGCATATTGTAGATGCATCATTACGAAAGATGCTACTCCAACGTAATGTCAATATGGTTATCGCATGTCTCAATGTGGCTTTGCCGCCGATATCAGTGGCTGATAATAAAACGATCATGATTTCCTTATTCGATGATGAATGCGTTTGTATTTCAGAACTATTATCGATCACCGACAAACTAATTTATTTCGTCGTTTCCAATCAATGTGGTGACTTTGTAGTACCTTTAATACACAATCATCAACAAATTGAACACATTTACGTATATAGAGATCCTCAGGATAGATCACCGCTTGATTGGACAGACCAATACGCCAAAATTCGTGGTCAAGGCTCCTCTATCGATAATGTTGTGAAACAAATTGAAGAAGATATTCAGTCAACCACACGACGACCGTTACGTTGGTCCAGATCGAAAGTCTTGTTGAATGAACTCTGCACGCAGAGTACGGAAAATAATTTTGCGATTCCTGTCAGTCACATATCTGAAAACGATCTACAACTCTTGTGCATTGTTCTATTACGTGTCAATCAACATCGATCATTTTATCTCGCTAATACGAAAATCAAGATCAAGGAATTCGATAGTATCGAAGATTGCAAACATTGGATTCAAGCAAATGTTTCATTGGTCATTTTTCTGATAATTTCAATGCATAGTCTCGTCGATGTGCGCACAGTAGCAGAGTTAGAATCCGTCGATGCTGTTTACATCGTTACCGATATCTCCTCCATTGAGCAAATCCAAACTACATCAATCTATTCGAAATTGAGTGGTGTATTTGTTCTCAACGAAGATCTACTCGAACAATTAACAGCAGATATATGCTTTTATCTTCAAAATCGCTATTACAAACCGAACATCAGTACCTTTAAATTTCAACAGAATATTCTTGATAATTTAACTGAATATGATATGAATTTTCTCTCTTTTCAACTGTTCACTGAAATCCTTCCTCAAATACCGACTCAAGCAACTACAACGGCGAACGACGATAGGTCATTGCCTCAATTAGTCAAAGGAAATGCAATAATCTACAATCTTTTCAATCAATTTGACCGCAATACACTAGAGAAATCAGTATTAAAACTGAAAGAAATCTCTGAATATGTAATATCGTTACCGAAGCAACTGGATTTATCTTCTACAACAGTCTATAGAGCTCAGTTGGCATCACAACAAGATTTGAAAATGATAAGAGATCAATCTAATGCTCTACTCTGCATACAAACATTCGTCATTGCTTCAAGATCTTTTCAATCGATAATGGATATTTGTCGACGAGCAGCTAGTAATGAACTCAAAGTAATTCTCTTCGAACTCAACTTGTCCGAGCGAGTATGTCCAGTGAAAGTTGATGAGAATTCTGTTGTTTTCAATCTGGGTGCACTCTTTCGATTAGTCTCTTCTGACAGAACATCTGACGGCATCTGGCGTGTTCAGCTAGAATTTACCAATGATGCAATGGAACATATCAAAAATCAACTTCAGTCCAAGATTGGTTATCGTCTGACGTGGTTAACCTTCGGCAGCTATTTAAATTCTCTTGAGCCAAAGAATAAGGCTGCAGAAGAATACTATCACTACCTTACCAATCTTGCATCTAATCATTCCAGTTTACCGTCGATCTACAACAACATGGGCTTAATGTTCATGACTAATGAGATGTATGAAAAAGCATTGGAATTGCTTCATAATTCATTGAGCTCAACAGCCACGCCCTCATTACCGACAAGGGAACAAAAATACTTGCACACTATGAGCCTGCCACCTTCTTCAGACTCATCAATCAATAATCAAAATATCTTAGCCAAAATGGCTGAAGTTAGCTATATGCAAGGAGATTATGCCACAGCAATTGCTTTTTATCAGCAAGCACTTGAGAACACTAGTGATCCAGATTTGTGTCACTTTTATCGAACCAGAATTGACTCTCTTTCTTTTTTTTCTGATACTTGTTCACCTAAATAATGAATTAATTATTGGTATGATTTTCATCTTCATTTTAGATTTCGTCTTCTTTCAATACGAATAGTGTTGTATTAATATTTCAATTGGTTCAATACATCATTGTTCAATAAGTAAGCCATTTTTAAATTTTGCAAAATCAGTCTATTTGAGGAGCGAACAGTGTGCTGAGATGGTGCACAAAGTTTCCACGCCTATCGGACACAGTATGATGTGCATTGTATTCCATGATGCAAAATTACTTGCTTACCGTCGACGGCAACTAGAATTTCATCTCAAAAAGGAATTTTATTACATATGCACCTTTTCAGACGTTGGCAAGTTCGCTGGATTTATCAGCCGTTCATTCATAGTGGATAAACTTGTTTTTATTATTGGTACCAAACAAGCCAAAGCATTGTGTGATTTAGTGCGCAATCGTAAAAACTGTCCAAAGAACCCATTTGTGTATGAATTACAATTCGGCTCAGATCCATTCCAATCTTGCTTAACCATTGATAAAAAATTTCAATCACTTGATCGATTATCGGAGAAGATCACTACTGATATAAGAAGTTATATTGAACGTACGAGTCAAAGTCATCAAAAGGCCAGCGGTGAGGATGATAATGATGATGATGAAAGAATTCGTCAAAAATCAACGCTTTTATTCGGAATTCGTGACAGTTCGAAGCATCAGGAATCGTTTTGTTACTTGAGTCGAGAATCACTAAAATTCGCTCTCTTTCAATCATTTATTGAAGTGCTTTTGGGTATCGATATTGCTGAAGAAGATGTTAAGAACATGTGGAGACATTGTCGTAGTGACCCAAACTATCAGAACAATATTAATCAACTAAGAAAAATTGCAGACTTGGAAAATACCTACACACAACAAAAGGCCGTTCGATTCTATACTGCAGATACTTTTCTCTTCCGTAGCGTCAACAAGGCATTACGGTGTGAAAATTTTGAGGACGTCTTCGTATTTCGTCCTCTTATCAAACATTTGCATCAAAGACTTTGCGAACTAGCCCTTCAACAGGTGTCCAATAAAGTGTGTCCATCATCTGTATTATATCGAGGTAAAAAATTGCCAATGAGTGTTTTACAACAACTCAAAGACAATATTGACCAACTCATATCGATTAATGGTTTTCTTTCAGCGACGAAGAATGAAATTGTAGCCAACACGTTTTCTGATCCCGAAAATCTCCGAGAAGGGTATGCAAGCGTAACTATTGAACTATGCATTGATGATGGAAAGATAGAGGAGATAATGAACTCTAAACAAACGTATGCTGACATTTCTGGAGAAAGTTCTTTCCCAGGCGAAGACGAAGTGCTCTTCTTTATGGGTTTTGTTTGGCTCATTCAATCAGTCGAGCCAGAACCCGACAGAAATATTTGGAAAGTTAAGTTAAAACTATCAACCAATATGAACTTTCCCAAGACTGATAAATTTCGCTCAGACGATAGTAAATGTACCTACTTCACGTTGGGCAAGATCTTATATGAGCTCGGTGAATATGCAAATGCGATAAAATTTTATAATCGCATGCTTCAATCATGTCCTGATCTTTCATTGAATACTCGTGCTGATATCCATTTTCACATCGCTCAATCAGCGTACGCTGCAGAGTTGTATTTATGGGCGCAGGATCACCTCAAACAAGCAGAAGATGCCATCAAACAAAAAGCTGCAGCGAATAATGAAGGATCTTCAGCTTCGCGGCCAACTCATGCAGAAGATACGAATCTTTCCCTGATGTGTATTGCCACCAACATGGGTTTAGTTTATCAGGGAATGAAGGATTATGAAAACGCCAGACGTATTTTCAGCGAAGCTCTTAACAACGAAGATGGTTCAGATGACGATAGAGTCAAATTGTACTACTGTATAGGCATACTCGAATTTGAAGATGGCCATTACCAACAAGCATATGACTATTATCTTCAAGCTCTCAATGTCGTTCAGGATGCTGCATTAAGAGAGGAAATCAATCAGAGACAACGCACAGTAAAAGAAATTCTGGGTTTATAAATTTTTTGTGTTGAGAAATGGATGCAGTTAAAATAAATAATCGATAGCTTTTGTTTTTAATATAATCTATCAAATAATCGTTGTATTGTAATATAACTTTGATTAATTCATTGTGGGTGTGGCTGTGGATACGGGTGTTGGCGTAGGCCTTATCATCAACCTTAGTCACACCCACACCATTAATTGACCACGAACTTGTACAGAAATGAATTTTTGCCCCAAAAACTTACAAATGCATGCGATTCGAATACACTTTTAGGGTTGTGGATCGAAATTGACTCGTTCTTATTTTTGAATCTCGCATAGTCTCTTATTTTATGGATGGGACGTAAATGAAGATGTGAGTGTCGTCGTGGGTGTGAGTCTTCAGTTGCCCAAACCCACATAGTCTCATCGAATATTCATATAATACACCCACTGTTGATTTATCACGGCTATCAACACCCACTACGAATGTAAATGACGACAACTCCAACTTCGACTCATCTTCTGATGAAAATTACGAAGAAATCGATCATATTCTGCACATGCTCGATACTAATACTTATGAGAAACTTTCCAAGGATGTAAATTTAGGAGTGAATGTCTTATATAGCGCTAGATTCTCACTCTAATATTAACAAACACTCTCAAATAGTTTTATTCCTTTTAACATACATTAATATAGTTGACTGTGATCGTTCCTTGACATGTTCCTGGAGTATTGTGTCTAAGAAGTTAAAGAAAATCCTCCCATCACCGTATAGATCCTTGACAAGAAGCAACGAGTTTTTCATCAGGAAATCTTAAAATCCTGAAACGATTCTGTATCAAACAGTGGAAAAGTCATG